CATTTTCTGTACCACTAACTAAGTCATCAGCGCTACGAGGTTCTTCGATGTTTTTGGGATGTTCCGGTTCCGAAAAGGCTTTTTTCTTGCCTTTGGTATTCATAAACTTGAAATGCATGATAATAGTATATCCCATTTTGGCATAAAGACAAATAAGTGAAACTATAATCGCTATAGCTGTTAAAAGAAGTCCGCCTCCGAATATCAAAGACCCGGTTTTGTTGACGGTCTTTACTCTACTGCACCGTAATCCAACAATCCCTTTTTCATCATTTCTAAACGGAACTGAGCCATAAAAATGAGTCGTAGGTAACGCTAAAAGAAATGCAATAATAATCCCTAGACATAGAGCAATTCGTTTCCATTTCAGTGTCATTTGTTTTCCAAGAGGTTTACAAATCTTGCGATATCTGTGTACAGCGATAGCCAGGAGAATCAAAATCGAAGTAAATGTTGTAAATGCTGCAAAGAACCACCCTGTCTTACACACATATGTGTTCTCAAATTTGGTTTGCATTAAATTGAGAGCCATTCCAAAAGAAGCAGAGACGCTAGAGGCACACAGATCTGCTGTAGCCAGGTACGGAATGAAATATCTCTCCTCCTTGCTGTCCTTCAATTTTACACCGTAAATAAAAATTACAGTTAAATTTCCAACAAGACCGGTAATAATATACAAAGACAAAATCACATTGTTTGGAATCAATTCCTTTGCAAGCAAGTTATTCCAAATGTCTATTTTCTCAGATATGGACGTACCGTTATCCATTTCTACATAAATATCTGTTTATGTTTCATTTATGACCATCAAAGACCAAACATATGAAAATGTGTTTTTTTTTAGATATTAAATTGATTATCGATATTTTTATATTTTTTCTTCCCTGTTCTCTATCTTTCTAAATATAGTTTTTATCATTCACTTTCTTTTTCCAAAATTTGTCCGTTGTCTGTCGTCCTAGTTTGATTTTCAGATTTTCATCTTTGAATTTCATTTCAAAAACTTGCCACAAAGTATCCTTGGGTGAAGGGGATTCAAATTTGTTGAAATGAAGGGCCAAGTCCTCTTCCAATTATGAATTAATGAAAAATTAACGGTATCTTTTAAAAATCTTCTTCTCAAGAACCACTGAGCCAGAAAAGATGAAACTCATGTGGAATCATCCTCAGGTAATGTAGATTCAACTTTGTACAAATCATGACCCCCGGGGGTAGGGCGGGGCCACAATGGCTGGTCAAAGTTTACATAGGAATATATAGGACAAATCTTAAAAAATCTTCGTCTCCAGAACCATTGGGCCAGGAATGATGAAACTCATGTGGAAGCATTCTCAGGTAGTATAGATTCAAGTTTTTTCAAATCATGACCCCCGGGGTTTGGGCGGGGTCACAATGGCTGGTTAAAGTTTTACATAGGAATATATGGGGGAAATCTTTAAAAATTCCACTGGGCCAACTTGGGGGCATCCTCAGGTAGTGTAAATTCAAGTTTGTTCAAATCATGACCCTCAGGGGTGAGGTGGGGCCACAATGGCTCATCAAAGTTTTACATAAATATGAAAAATGCTTCTATAACCATTGGGCGGGGAAAGATGAAATTGGAAGCATCCTCAGGTAGCTTTTGTGTTTTTTAATCAGCCCATGTGCTCAGGTGAGCGATGTGGCTCATGGCCTCTTGTTCTTCTTCCGTTCATTCCTAGTTTGATTTCATTCCTTCAAATTTCATTCAAAACTAGGTTGTTTCTTCCTGTTTCCTCTATCTTAAAGCCGCTTCATCCGAAACAGGCACATATTATCTTAAACAATAAAAGTATGTCATTACATAGATAATATATAAAATTAATTATAAGATTGATTTAATAGTTTATTACAACAATCCTTACATGGAAAACATCAAAAAACCTTGTACAAACAGCAGATCCTGACGGGAAGTTAAGATCAAGTCACCTTTGAAAGAAATACTTTTATCGGTTATATCTAATTATGAAGAGAATTTAAACCCGAGTATTTTTTTCCATTAGTAGAATCCTACGTCATGATATATCTTCTAAAAATTAAGAAATTAATTGAATATTATCCATAGTAATTTTTATATTAATATGCATATTTATAGAATAAAGGAAAATCAGATATTTTTAAAGATTTTTTTAAAAGGGAGTTTAGTAACGAGGGAGAATAATGCCCGTGTACACTTTGTTGTGGAAAAAAATGCTCTGGTTTGTTCTTCATGAGTTATACATGTAAGCGATAAATTTAATTTTTCGAAGGTGATTTCACGCGACAAATGTCAACAAAGGATTATTTTTTGTGAAACAAAAATTATTTTTTTAACTTTTGAATTTTGATATCTTTAAAAAGAAAAAGACTTTGGGGATATAATTTGACAAAAGTTGAAATAATTTATGGACAATTATTTTTCAAAAAGAAAAACGAATATATATTCCGTATTTGTCTTTTATTTTAAAAGAAATAAATATATGTGGTGTCTCATCAAGTTATATAAGTTATATACTTTCTGCAAATAAGACAATTCCACTCCATCACTTTTAAAAGTTATGAAATAGCATTTGGTAAAAATTATTTTCTCTCCGAGTCAGATATTAAACCGCCTCTTATTGAAATATTCATGATCACGTGGTCTCGCATGCTCACAGCCAACAATGGTCCAATCTCGTGAATGAACCGAAAAGCATGATGGTTTACTACGTTTTTACTACAAACACGTGGGTTATCCTAGGGATATTTAGGATGCGATTTCAAATGACGGCTGGAAAGCCAATTTACAATTTTTTGAAGCGTGTTTGAGAAAATATAGGAAGAATAGGTATTAATTGAGAATTCCCATGCTCACATTAACAAATAAATTCAGTTTTTCTTGTTAAAACGTACTTTGCAATACCGCTCACAAAGTATCCACAAGTAAATAAGACTCCAGTTTTTAAACTCGATATTCGTAAATTTGCCATATAACTGGTTGAATTAGTTGTTGCTCAGTTATTACTACATGTAGAAATTTAAAGTTTTTGCATTGAAGGAGAAAGACTTAGGTTGCATGTTTTTTTAGAATTACCTCTATATTAATTCTCATGTGCATTGATCGTAGAACCTGTATTGAGTAGCATACTGATTGTTTCTAAGTTGTACACATTGTAAACATTGTCAATACGTAAGCACACCTCAAAGTTGGTCGCTTTTCGTACCGAGGAATAGTCACGTGAAATTGTCTTTTCACTGACAATACAGCACGGGGAAACTGTAAACAAACGGGCCTGTACAATGGAGTGGGGAAAAATCTAACTTTTATCATTGTTAATCATTTGTATGCAAATGTGAGCATGTGATTAGTAGATAATAATGTACCTAATGCATTAAGCGTGTAAATGCTTGGGAAAATGCATCACGTCTTTCCGAGAGCGATATATGAAAAACAACCAGCCTTTTCGAAAAACACATGTAGTATTTTTTGTGGTCACCCATAAATGCATTAAATGCAACTCATTGAGCTGATTGGTCGATTTGTCAGTCATGTTGGTTCCTCAGTGAACAGACGTCACAAAAATAGTTTCCTTGACCTGATGATTCTCGCGATGCTTTTCCCGCGCACATGCGCAGATCCAGCATAAACGTCAGTCCTTTATAGATATGCATGAGAATATCGTGTTCTTTTCCCGACCAGTACTTTGTTAATAACGAATAATATTTCGTCGAATTTGCAAGAATCTTCATTTTTTGATAGCTTATCATACTTCAGAAATTTTTGTTTGGTTCCGCTGTGCAAAAATACTGTTTAACACGGCATACATATCTTTAAGTAATTATCTTCTCGCATTAGAGTTCTAGTGGGTACATTAACGTGCTTGCGTCTGTAGGAATGGATTAGTTTGATCTTCTCTCTGCGAGGGAATGCTCCGTTTTGCGATGTACGTTTTGTTTAATTAGTTCAAATTTATTTAATTCACGTTGTAAGAAGTCATTTGTTTGAAAAGAAAAAAACATGCTTTATAACCCGAGTTGTTAATGTTACAATATGACTTGCACCGTTTTGTTTTAAATCCAGTTGGAGGTAATTTCAGTTCAATTGAAAGTCTAAAAATGTTGGTTTGAAACGAGATTGTTAATGTACAAGTATCACTAACTTTAGGATTCATCAGTTGCCTAACTCGGTGAAAAAGGGAATTTATATCTTCCTTGATAGATAAGGGAAATTTGAAGGAAGAATATTGAAGTCATCACACTTTAAATACAGAATAAGAGTCCACGGTGACTTGTGTTTGAAACTCAGAGAAATTTATCGAATTTGCCTGTATAAAAATGATTACTTTTAACCGAATAAGGCCACAGAGAGATTTCTGTTATTTTGAAAGTCTGTATTTATGTGTTTAATAGGCAATAACAAATAAGACAACATAGAATATAACACAGCTAGTGTAGACACCTATACTCTTCCATAAGCGAAGAAAGTTAAGGGGTCTCATCACAACTTATCAAATTACATGTGGCAATGATAACGATATCTACTAATCATGATTATGTTAAACAACGTTGAATTTGTACCTAGCTCTTATGGATAGCAAATGGATAAAATATTGTGTAGCTATCCTTATTTAACTATTTTCTTAACTATTAGAATTCCTTAAAGGACTGCCTTTTAGTCGTTTCGGCAAGTCAAGGTTATTCAGTAAAAACAACTGAATTCCAATATAATAGCTTAATGTTACTTATTTCTTTAAGTTACAAGATCTATATATAGAATTAATTTTAACGATCAGTTTAGGTAAATTCTTCCCGGTTCCCTATCTATTGGTCTCTGTTGAGTTTAAACATTTACAATTTTTAAGAAGATAAAATGATCAATTTTAGAGAATTGTTATTCCTTCGAAAAATCTTGTTTAAGTTTAAGCAAGTTAAGGTAATGCGGTTCAATGATTGAATAAAAAAATTATTATTTTTGATATTGAGTAAAATTGGTTTTATTAAAACATAAAATACGCAAAACAAAAGATACTGTAAACTATTTATAACCTGTAATGTGTCTTTAAATGTAATTAATTTTATGCATAAACTGACCATGTAGATAAATAAATTAATTGACAAACACCCTGTACTATCTTCAACATTACTATTAAGTAGATACATGTACTCTGTTTTCATTTTTTATAACAAAGTTTCCTCTAAAGTCCAGATTTTTGGAAAACAGGCTTTGTGAAACTGCAATCTTTTGAGACTTGGGAGAAGATAGGTGTGTATGAGTTTCTGCAGTAAAGAACTAAAATATGAATACACTTCCCCAAAATAAAACATGCCTTAATATCTTACAACAATAACTCTCATTATTATGGTGCAAATTAGTTATAGATCATGTGCTCTATGTAAAATACCAAAAAAGAGACAAGTTTTATTTCAAAGCATTCCATTTCTATGCCACCAATCAAACGATTCTAAAGAAAAAATAATTATAGGTACCGTTCCAACGACAAAGCAATGAATCTTTAATTGCAAAATAAAAATTTATCACATTCTACTCATTTACCATCAGCGGATCTAACTACTAATCAAAATCTTAATTATTATTAAAAACAAATATATTAAATATTTGATTTTCTAAAAAAAAAAAATAATTAAGCAATATTAAATACTTTCTACAAATTAGGATTTTCAAAAAATAATTGAATAATAAACAGCTTTTAAACAATTTTTTTTAACCCATCATAAGTGGGTTCGACTAAAAGGACTGACACTGTACTAAATTAAGATATTAATGATTTTTTTTTAAATTCATGATATCTTCATTAACTAGACCGGAAATGACTCGTAAACATACATAACGAAATATAATTGAAAAATAATTGAAATAATATCTCTACTACTCAACCGTACGAAAGAAATAATAGGGGACTGGCTTCTAAGTATTTCCTTCCGAATACCCTCAGTTCCTCGTTCATTTGGTTCAAATTACTAAGTAGGATTGAAAGTTTAGTAAATATTATAATTTTGAGAAAACAGAGAAGAATGAACTGCTAGAAAAACTCGGAAGTGTTAATAGCTATAGATTACTGTATTAAATAAAATCTTAATCTTATTTTGTTTATTGCTTACGTATAATGCATAATTGTGATCGTTTTATGGAATAGGTTAAAAATGAATATAAACGCTCGGAAAGAAACAATATACTTTATAAATACTTAGTAATAACATTTTTTGCTTTACAAAATTTATTTAGAAAGCTTCTATTTATTCACATCCCCAAAAAATCATGCAATGAACTACAACAGGGAGAAATATTTTATCATCCCCTTGATGAAAAATACCGGTAATTGATTAAAAAAAATAAAAGCTTTAAATATACATGTATGATTACTTTCTATATTATTGTCATTCGATCAACCATCAATGAATCAAAAATTACACACTTGCTTGTGTATCCAATCCGACTTGATCCCAATTTGAAAATATCCTCGATGAATTCGCGACAATAAGACTTAGGGAACTATGTAGTTTGGAAACCAATTTAGAAAAAAGACATTGTTAGATTTCAGTGAAGAAAAAGGATGTTATGCAGCAAGCCTCGTTTCATTAATTGTAAACAAGGAAGGCAAAGGCTAGACGTTAAATGAAATCCTCCCTATGAATAAAAGGTGGCTCTGGACAAAAGGGAATAATAACGCCGCAATGGTACACCTGCCAAACTGCATCACAATCGACAATGAACGTAAACTTGAGAGCATTTTAAACACTTTCCGTATATTTAAAGAAATATAACAATTTTTTAAAATGTTTTTTTTAAAATCATAATTACATAATCTCAGATAAAGAAACAACTGAAGGATAAATGAGACAAATAAAGTTGTGTCACAAAAATTTAAAATGACGACTTGAGTCATGTAAAAATAAAAAATTTCAAACTTGAAGGGTAACGATTTGTATAGATTATAACAATGAACACAGAAAGTAAGAATTTTGAACATCATAGAGGGTTTAAAATTTCTTAGTATTTCAAAAAGTTATTATTTGCATCATTCGCAACAAAATAGACCCCAAAATGTATGCCAATCTAGGCATCCATTTCTTGTTTGTCCTGATTTTTTTTAGTTCAACGAGAAAACATTGTGACTTCTGAATCAAGAATCTTTCCTTAAAACATTAAAATGTTGTATTTTAAAGAAGAAAACTTAAAACGTGATTTTAAAAAATCATACTGGTTTAAACTGAAAAAATTCAAATCATCTAAATCCAATAACAGAGATAAAGAATTGTATATAAAAACTTGCCTTTGAGATAGAATGTAAATCGTCATGAATATTGTCTGTCTACAAAATACTATTAAACTAGACATAAAACGGAGACTTACACAACATTATCAAGAAAATGTTTTAAAAACAACAATAAAATTTGATTCTAGCATCTGCAGAGTGTGAAGAAATGTTTTATCTCTTTTGCAAACATATTGTCCAGGAAAGCGTATATGAAAGGATTAGTAATATTGTTTATGATGTACATTCTGTACACAAACAAGACCCCAGCTCTAGCAGAGTCCGAGAATTCCTCCCAAAATTTGGGATTCCTGGCTTCTAGCAGCATAATAATGACCTTTGGGATATAGCAGATGAGGAAAATGACTGTGATTAGCATGAACATCAGAGTGAATTTGTAGACAACTTTACGGTTGTCTTTCTCTTTCCTTTTCTTTGCACTGGACTTGAAGGGAACTGTTTTTCTTACAGTGGGTGTTGTATCGATGGTAGGGGGCGTTCCTGTTGCTGTAGAAGAAGTTGGGGCAGACTGAATGCTGGACAATCCGGTGTCTTCGGTCCCATTTTCTGTATCACTCAGTGGGTTATCACTACTTGAGACTCCAACTTGGGATTGATCGGTCTTACTGGCGTGTTCTGTCCCCAAATTGTTACTTGTCTTCGTATACTTGAAATGCTTAAGAATAGTGTATCCTATTTTGGTATAAAGACAGATAAGAGTAACGATGATTGTTATTGCTGTCAGGACTACGATTCCTCCAAAAATCAAAGACCCAGTTTTGTTGACGGTCTTCAGTCTGCTGCATCTTAAACCAGTTATACCCTCTGCATCATTGGGAAAGGGTACAGAACCATAAAAATGAGTCATGGGCACAGATAAGGTGAACGCTGTTATTAACGCTACACACAACGCAACTCTTTTCCACTTTAATATCATCTGTTTGCCAAGAGGCTTGCAGACCTTTCGATATCTGTGCACAGAAATTATCAAAAGAATAAAAAGAGAACAAAAAGTTGTAAAAGCTGCGAAGAACCACCACGCTTTGCACAAATCTGTGTTATTAAATTGGGCTTGCATCATGTTAAGAGCAATTCCAAATGAACCGCATACAAAGGAGGCCCACAAATCTGCAAAGGCAAGAAATGGGATAAAATACCTTTCTTCTTTGTTGCCTTTCATTTTAAATCTATAAACTATGATGACGATAGAATTTCCCACAAATCCTAAAATGATATACAGAGAGAGGATCACATTATTCGGAGTTAACCCTCTGGCCAGTTCACTATTCCACTTTTCAAGTTTCTCGGATATATATGTGTCGTTATCCATTTCTTGCTGTATGATTTTAATGAGGGCTTCCTGGTTCACGATAATTTATTCTATACAGTTAATCATTGTCATGCATGCCTGCACCGTTTGCATTGTGTTTGTCACGTGCAGTCACTCAGGAGAAGGGTTTTCAATCAAACAATGTGTTACATATGCATGTGTGTATGTGTTAAAGGATAATATTCGTGTAAGGTTTTATTGAGAAAGATGTGAAATACTGATCAAAGTAAATTTTTCCCACAAAAAAAGAGAGTGAAATGTAAATCGACTAACATAAATAAGTTTCTGATGTAAGTAATGGTAATGAAAATTACCTGATAATAATTAATTTATTAATTATATTTAGCAATATCGATTACAATGAGGAGAGAGTAAGGAAACAAAAAGCTGCATTGCATTATGTTTGCAAACAATATATTTTCTCTGTAAAACAAGTGCCGGTACATGTACGCTTGTTAATGGCCAAGGTATGTACATATAGCACAACCATCCTTTAATTCATTCTTCAAGAATAAAAGAAATGAATATCCCTCACCTATATTTTAATTGTTTTATTAAATTTTGAAGATCGAAGACAACGAATACTGTTTTTCAATTAAATGTCCCTTGTGAAGTCAACCTGATAGAATATGGATCCCGGACCTAGTCCATGAGTCAAGCAAGCGAGTGGCCCAGTGTCCCGGTATATGTACCGCCATATTAAATCCATGCGGTAGGTAATGCTAACCCCTCTAAGTACCTGATCTCATCTTTGGACTTTCCAGGGATCGTTGTTTTATGTCCTCTTCGAAACATTTACATTTTTAAGAATTATGAAATTATTTTCTTTTCATCAACTGAACCCTTTTCATCTGGGTTATAAGGTTTATAGAATAAAAAAAATAATCTGGGAGACAGCAAATGCAGATCTTAGTCACAGAGTAAGGAAAACAAAATGTCTACTCCATGGTAACATTCCTTGACAATAATTCTACAAAAATCGGTTTTATACACCAAAGGACATATATTCTACCAATACGCAAATGTCTTAAGTTTGTATCAAGATTGATATTAATACGACGCATCCATACATTAGCCGAGAAATTCGTCTGAATTTATGTTAAAATGCTTATTTTTGTGTTCTTAAAATTTTCGTTGTTTCCATGGTTAGAGAAGACTAAAAAATTCTTCTCTTTAAAATGTCAAAATTCTGAATGAATTTACATTTACACGACTTTACATTTTCCATTTGCCCAAACAAGGAGGGCCTGTCCAGTCGACAGTGTCTGCTTTGGCCTCCATTACACATGATCCAACCTCTGATGGTTTAAGAGGTCCGTGTTTGCTATGCTTGTGTTGTTTAAAATTCTTTCAGCTTGATTACTGTTTGTTATCCCCATATCTTAAAAAATGCTTTACTTTGTAAGTTATGAACAAAAGTACAGTTACTTTGAAAAGTGCATTTATTTTGTAAACAAAACTACATAAATGACAAAGATGAAAAGGTATAATTTAAAAGACATAATACATTGCCGTTATTAATTTGTTTTTCCCTTTTTTTCCCTTTGAAGTCAAGGATTTCTTTTGTAAATATTTCTTTCTTCCTTGTATTAACATTAAAAGTATTTTTCAAATGGTTTCCATCTTGAGAAGGAAATTGTTGCATAGAAAAGGATCACGTATATAAAGAAATACTTTTCCAGACTATCTCCTTCCTTAATTTTCAAATTTCTTCAAAATATGCGAGCCTAGGTTGTTAAAAAAGACTAGAGCAAGGCAATCATAAAATATCATTTTTGAAATCAAACTATAAATGGCTTCTTCAACATATATTTTCTGATATTTCCCGATCATGACAAAAAAAACCACAGGGTAGGTGAAACCGTTCTGCAAAGGATGCTCATTCCTCCATGGCACCTGATCTCACCTCCGATGTTTTGGAGGTCCGTGTTAGCTCTTCTCTAAATTAGAACTGTTTAATGGACTTTTGATCTTGAATATTGTTCATAATCTCCTTATATTTTATTCTGAAATTCAATTTCAAAAGAAATTAGGTTTTCACAGGAGAAAACTAACAATCACGACACCCAGCTTCAAATCTTTTTTTCTTTAAAGTACACAAGTCCGTGATTACATTTCGAAAATGAGTAAATATTTTGGTCAATTTAATATTTGCACCACTTTTAATAAAAATACGAATCGTGATAACGAACGTTGAATTTACAAAAAAGCTTACATTAAACAGGGTGTTCGAAATCCATATTTGTCAGTAGAACGCATCGAAACTATAATTGATCGTTTAAGGTCATTGGCAACGCAGGGTTTCCGGAGAAAAAAGGTTTATACCCAGGTTTTTTCATTTATAAAAATAGTCATTGAGAGTGATCTCCCGTATGGAATTCTCTAAGCGGTGAAAACCAATAAAGCGTGCCTTACAGACTGAGAGGTAAACAAAAGCACGTGTGTGTTTTTTATCTGATATATTCAACTCTAGAGTAATAAAAGAAAAGCAGCGATGGGTTTGTTGAAATTGTGCTGAGGGGGCAGTCAGTCAACAAGTCGTCATTTAGAATAAGTACATGTATGCTGGGAAGTGCAAAGATGTGAAATAATCATGCTGAAAGTGGCGATAGCTAGGTAGACTGAATTAGAACGATTCTATAGGTTATGTGAAGGAAACACCATTAAAAGTTTATAATAAATCCTTGCAAAAATGTTTAATGACAGTTCCTTTCAAATAAAGTAAATTATGGTATAGAAACGAACAACCAGTCTCTTGATCATTATGAATAATAATTAGATGTTAAGGGAAGTAACTCTAAATCAAAGAACAGTGCTGGTATTTCTGTGTTTTGTTTCTATATTTGCAATTTCAGCCAAAGTATATGTTTGTCATCGAAAATGAAGATTCAACAATGTATTTTATGTATAAACTTTATGAAATAAATGGGTTTTAGAAAAAACGTATGGTTAAAAATAATATAGGACCATTTTATCAACATTTTACACAGGATATGCATTGAGAATTGTAAAAACATTCATTTGACAAAATCTTTTCAGGAAGGCTGGCTTGATGGGTAAAAAGGACCTGAATTGAACATGTTTGATACCATTAAACCTGTACTAAAGTTCTTGAAAAATTCTATACAAAATCCAGAAACGTTGCCAATGTCCTTAAAATTCAAACTTAGCTAAGAGACATAGATACCATATGCAGGTAATGTTGGAAATATCTATTAAACAAGGAATATTGTGGAGCAAAAAGCTGAAAATATTCCGTTATACATATGCTTCTTATAGAATTCAACTTATATGTTATAACAAACTTATAACAAACTGGTATTTATTTAAATATATTTTGGATAGCTCCTAAACTGACTTCCATAATAAGTCATAATATTTAATAAAAACACTAAATTAGTTTGAAAAAATAATAATTGTCGAAAAAAATCCATTTTCATGTAACTTTAGCCGAAAGCAAAAATGAAGGGTTCTTTATTGTTGTTTTAACCGGCAGGGAAAATGAGGAGGGCATTGAGAGCATTGGTAAACACGTCTTTATGTGTTTATTAAATGACAAAGTTACTACATGTATTTAATTTATTCTTTCCGTTAATGTTTGCTGAAATATACATCTTGATTGAACACAATATCAAAGTCAAATGAACATATGGTATGTCAGGTCCAGGTGTTGTCAATTAAAAAAAAATAAATAACAACTCACAACTAAAATTGAAGAGGTCTTCTTTAAATGTTTCAGACTAGTATATTTATTTTTGAGCAATGTTTAATCACAGAAATCATTACAGTGACTGTTGCAATGGCAAAGACGGCTCAAAGATTCAAGAACTATGATTTGTAGGCTTCTCTTGACTTTCTGCATCTCCATCAAACGATTTCTTCTTTGATATTTGAAAACGACACTCACCCAAAAAATAATCATAGTAGGTAAAGAAGATACATGAATGAATAAAAATTTCACAGTTTGAAGAGAAGTGATTCTATCACTTAAAAGAAATTTGACGGTTTTATTGCAGGCACAAGGTGAGGTAAAGGTCAATTTCATTATCCCCTATGCTCTCTTCAATCAAACAATTCCTAGTTCTATTACCTAAAACTTTTCTTTTATGTATGCTTTTCTTTTAGCATGAAAAGACAATATTAAATAGGGTCTAACAATTAAAACTTCCAAATGTTAAATAAATAATTTGAAGCAGAGATGAATCAAGATCAAATTATCCCTTCGTTTCTCGGTAGTTACATTGTGCTGACTTCCTGTTCCTTTGTTCCCTTCGGTTCTCCGCTGGTCATGTGACCTGAAGTAGGTATAAAAAAGGAGACAGTCGGGTTGATTTAGTCAGTCTGTTATGTACGGCTGTGTAGTTCTAAGAGACGTCTACAGAAGAGTCAAACGTGGTAGGTACTGAAAGGGATACTTTTAAGGAAGATCGCGGGTTTTCTGACGTCACAATAGGATTTGACGTGAAAAGCTTACCGCATTCAAATTAGCAAGCAAAAAATATCTTCAGCAGTGCTAAAAGTAAAGGTTGTTTGGTGTATTTAAATATTTTTGTATGCAATTGGGATTAAATGATGTTTTGATCAAGGTTGTCTTTTACTTTAAGTAGTTTTTAACTCTGATAACTGTTGTGTGTACACACCTTTCTGAAATATCATTGCCTAAATACAATACAAAAACAGATCCATCTTATTATTTTTTTTCACTTTTATGAATTTTGTTTTATTTGTTTAATTTAGTCTCCATACTAATATACTTTTATTTTTATTTGTTTTACAACCATCTCTAACTCATTATACAAGGTATCTATTTTCTTAGAGATGATGTACGCCTAGACTGGAAATATTTTTTTGCACAACAATATTGTCTGAGCCAAGTACAGGTAAAAGATTTTCAAAACAAGAAAAAAAAATGGACAGTATATGGTACGTCAATATGCTTAATGAAGTATCATTTGTACACGAGTTTCTCTCACTGATGGTTTTTTTTTTTTTTTGTCTTTTTTTGCGGGGGGGGGGGGGGGGGGGTGTGGTTAAATTAGATTAAAACAATTGAGGCGACAATAGCATAAAGTATAATGTTTTCTATAGTATCAATA